TGGTTCCCTGTAACCTTGCTTCCCGCAGCGAGGGAACCGGCAGAAGGCCCTCAGAGCTGGACCTCAGTGTCTGGGCTGAATAATGGGGGTGGAGACGCTCCTTCAGGTATACTGGTATACAGGTATACGTATCAGGGGGAGGGGGTAAAATTGGGTTCTGCGTTGCAGGATCAGATTAAAGCTAAATTTTGCGTCCAGAAAAGAAGTGGATTTCTACTATAGACCCTTCCAGATAAACGGGTTTTCTTTCTTAAATCTGGAGCGACTGCTTCCATCTATCTAGTTTGGTTCTGACAGGCATTCCTTGGAGCCTTCAGGATAATTAGATGATTGCTCCCTTCATAATATAGCAATGGAACAGTATTATATTCTTCTACCCTGCAGAGCAAATCCATGAAAGGCTTAGCAGAAGAGAGATAGCACAATTAAGCTGAATTGGGATTTTAAGTGGAGAATTCCTAGGTACTCAAAGTCTTAACTCAAACTGTCTACACGACAGTTACTGTAGTCAAATGGAATTATAATTTCAGCAAGAGTCCTTAAACCAAACCTGAACCCCTGCCCCAGGACACTATCTATATATTTATATCCTTCCTATCTATCTATCTATCTATCTATCTATCTATCTATCTATCATCTATCTATCTATCTATCATCTATATCTATCTATCTATCATCTATCTATATCTATCTATCATCTATCTATCTATCTATCTATCTATCTATCTATCTATCTATCTCTATCTATCATCTATCTATCATCTATCTATCTATCTATCTATCTATCTATCTCTATCATCTATCTATCATCTATCTATCTATCTATCTATCATCTATCATCTATCATCTATCTCTATCTATCATCTATCTATCTATCTATCTATCTATCATCTATCTATATCTATCTATATCTATCTATCTATCTATCTATCTATCATCTATCTATCTACCTATCTAATCTATCTATCATCTATCATCATCTATCTATCATCTATCATCTATCTATCTATCTATCTATCATCTATCTATCATCTATCTACTATCTATCATCTATGTTTGCTTTAAAAAAATCTATTTTTAAGCACTTAATCCATGTATATCCTTTATCTGTTTGAATCCTTCCCCTCACCAGTAGCCCAAAGAGGCAGATAATTTCCATAGAACTGACATGATGGGATGGTAATTTCTTAATAAGATACCAAATAATACAAGAGTCCTAGAAATAGCTACCTAGCTTAACTTTGCAGGAATCCACATTTTATGAATATTTCTGAGGTGGCCTACAATATATTGGGGGGGGGGGGTGAATGGAAAGTCCTAGGAGGAAAAACTGGGTTTAGTCTGGCAAAGTTTTACTTGAAAAGTAGCTTATAATGGTATACAAAAATACAGACAACTGAAATCTGGATAGAAAACAGAAGTACTGGATAAACTCGCCTTATGCTATTACCGGACTGATCTCTGGTGGTAACTTCTCTTTATTGGTTACAAATGTCTATTTCCCTCCGGGAGGGTTAGCAGCGGATCTTACTTCTAGATGGGAATCCCTAGAGGATTTTTTACTTTCTTGCTATTTTAAATATCCCAATGTCCCCTCCATTACTGGAGGCGATTTTAATGCTCGGATAGCCTCAAATTGGGAGGCTCTTAAAAAGTCTAAGTGGTGGACTGACCCTGGCACTCAAACTTACGATCTAGCATACACCCCCACTAGAATATCAAAGGATGTAAAAGTCAACAAGGCGGGAGTGATGCTTTATCAGATGACTCTACGCCTCAATTTAATAATATTAAACGGCAGGTGTCCTCCAGACATACCAGGAGAGTTCACCCACCTGGGGTTAAAATCCAACAGTGTTCTCGACTATGTTTTGGTTTCCCGGGATCTATTTTTGAATGTCACCTCCTTTAAAATTGATAATGCCCAATTTAGTGACCATCTTCCCCTGACAACCAAGTTATGTGTTGACTGGCAGTTGCTCGACCGCTTCCACCCAATCCCGGTGACTGTGGAGTCGTCCACTAAAGTAAAGGGGACTAGATGGACCCCTGCCCTCGCTCATAGATATATGGATTTTATCAGAGAAAAGTTTTCTGGTGATCAGCCAAACGTAGGAATAGTCCCACGTGATCCTATTACCTGTTTGAACTCTTTTTCTTGCCTGATAGAAGTTTTAACTCGCTTTTTTACTTCTCCTACCTATGGAGTTAAAAAAGACTATTTTAAATTTGGCGCCCCTTGGTTCAACTCGGCTTGCAAACTAGCCAGACTCCATCTTCACACAATATACAATGACTATAAACTTTCCGGCGCTCCGGCTTTACCTCCATCTTATTCCCTGGCTAAAAAAGCATACAAACAGGCCCAGAAATCGGCCAAACGGGAATGGCATTCAAATCGTTGGCAGACTATAATTTCTGCCTCGAAATCTCATAACTCCCGGAAATTTTGGTCCTTAATAAAGGGAAGAAACACGAAATATCCCTTAACGGTGATCCCGGCCCCAACATGGGAGCAGTTCCTGAGAAAATATTTCTCAGTGGCAGAAGCTCCGGCCACTCATTGGAGACCTTCTAATCCCCTTCCCGTCTGGCCCAATACCGACCCTGCTGAAATCCTAGAATTGATAGCTGAGCTGAAAACTGGTAAGGCCCCTGGGCCAGATTTGGTCCCAGTTGAGGCCATAAAGCTTCATTCTGCATGGTGGGCAGGGATCTTAGCTAAAACGTTTGACGCAATAAATGCCATGGGCTTAATACCAGGAACGTGGAAGGAGGCCATTATAATTCCTATCTACAAAAAAGGCCCTCCCGGTGACCCAGGGAATTATCGGAATATCAGTCTGCTATCGTCCATTGGGAAAATATATGCCCGTTTCTTGCTGACAAGGTTGATGAAGTGGTCAGTTGAGGCTGACCTGATTGGACATGAGCAAGCTGGATTTAGATCAAACCGATCCACAACAGACCAGGCAATTATGCTTTATCACTTAGCCCGGAAATACTCGACACCTCGACGGGGCCAACTTTGCGCAGCTTTCATAGATTTGAAAGCTGCGTTTGATAGTATTCCGAGGAAATTGCTATGGGATAAACTTGCCTGTTGGGGAATAGATAGAAGGCTCCTGTGGCTTATCTCCCAACTTCATGCCGGGTCCGTGGCCAGGGTGAGATTATCCCCTGCTGGAGACCTGACTAACCCAGTGCCAGTAAATAAGGGTGTACGCCAGGGTTGTATTTTAGCGCCGCTTCTTTTTAACTTATTTATCAGTGATATGAGGAACCCATTAGCCGCCGCACAAAAATTTATCCATACCCCTCGCATAGCTGATTACCGTTGTCCTTTACTTCTCTACGCAGATGATGCGGTACTACTCTCTTACTCTAGAGTGGGTTTAAGGAGGGCATTAAAGATTTTTGCGACATATTGCCATTCTAATCATCTGTCTATCAACCACACCAAGTCTAAAGTACTGATATTTTCAAGGAGTCGAAAACTTTATTCTTGGAAGCTGGAGGGCACGAAAATCGAACAAGTACATAAATTTAAATACTTAGGAATTTATTTTCAATATAATTTAGGGTGGAAAGCGCACATTGAATATCTTCAAAACAAGACAAAAGCCCTATCACACTCCCTCCTCCGTTTTTTCTACTCTGAGGGGGCCTTATTCATCCCTGCGGCCTTGAAAGTGTATAGCATCAAAGTGATGGCCACAATGGCCTATGCTGCTCCTTTATGGGCTGCCTTTGCAAACCTCTCACCTTTAGAGACACTTCAAAGCCAATTCTTACGCCGACTTTTAAAATTACCAACATGCGTAAGTAATGCGGCCATTCACTTAGAAATGAAGATCCCCTCAGTGGAGTTAGTCATATGGAGGAGAGTTTTGATCTATTGGATATCCCTATGGCATAAACTCCCGAACCACTATCTAATTCAATGCATGTGGCGGGATGACTTCACAAATTTGTGGTCAGGAAAAATCCATGCCAAATTGCTGTCCTATGAGATCTCGCCCACTGAATTGCTCAAACTGGATCTAAATGTGGCAAAAAGGTGTATAAATCAAAGGCTGGATGATGCGGAGCTATACCAAAATTTCGTAGCTGGTGGTGGAGCCTGCTCGCCGTTAAATTTCGGCATAACCCCTATCTACCGCGCTCCGTCCTACTTAACATCGCTTATGGCTGCGTCTCACCGTTATGCCTTCATTAGAGCTAGGTTCAATGTTTTTCCAACAAACGTGCTGAGACATAGATTCACTAAGGGCCAAGTCCCTTCAATGTGTGCTTGTGAAATGAAAACATCTGAATCTCTACATCATGTTATGTTTATCTGCCCTTTGTACAGTTCAGCCCGTGCTAGTATTCTAAACCCCATAATCCAGCCTATGGCTGACAAACCAGTAGACCTACAGCTTGCCTGGGTACTTCAAGATGTGGATCCTTATATTACCCTACAGGTTGCTAAATTCCTAACAGCCGTCCTCTCGCACAAGAGACGGAACGGAATGTTAGCTGATTATTGATAGTCACAAGAATTTTCTATAATGACATCAGATATTGTTTTTAGTGTAGTGCCAAATTTTTTTTAATCTTAATCTTAACTTTTTTATGAATGGCTAATATCCGTCCTTGTGAGTTGTGAACTGTGTTATACTACTTGTGGTTTGTATGAGTCCGCTGTTTTATTTGATTTGTTTTGTTGTGTTGTGCTTCATGATGGGCGTAATAGCCGAATAAACATTTGTTGTTGTAGCTACCACCAGTTGGGGGCTGAAGATGGGGGACAAATGGAGAACAAAGGCGGATAAGTGATGGGAGTCAGATTTCTAACTGTCATTTCAGGAAGTGATAAGACAAGGGCTCCCTCTGGACCCTCTTCTCCACACCAATATTTAGGTTCTAGTAATTCTGATGGAAATTAGCTGGTTGCTAAGACCAAGCTTTTAGAAGAACTGGCTTATTTCATTGCTTTTGGCTGGGTTATCCCCTGCCCCCTTTTGGTATTTTCATCTTAATTCTGTTCCTACTACCTGTGAGGGAGATTTAGGCCGTGCTGGTGCTGGAGAAGGAGGAGCAGCCAATGTATGATTGGGACTTGCTTCAGGGCTATGCAGAGGGGACTCCTCTTCAGGCGGTGATGGAGTTTTTGCAATGCGGAGAGGACCTGAATCGCTAAGAGAATGCAAACCAATATTTTATAAAACATACAATACTGTCATTTCAACACATTGAACTGCTTTTTGGCTCCCACAAGACACACCCATGAAGTCTGCATGTTTCCGTCTACAATGTGTACATTTGGTTCCTTATGTGATAGTACGATGGATTAAATCCTGGGGTACCAATCCTAAATTGTCTAGATGTCTAAGATCTCTGTTTTCTAGAATTCTGAAAATTCTCTCATTTGTTAGAATTTTGTGTGTGTTCTCACAGCTCATTTGTTATCTCTTTAGGACCCAACACTGTATCTGAAAATGAGAACTAAAGTTATTTCCGAACGTCTTCAACTATCACCAAGCTCGCTACTAATTCCATCCACACTCGTCTAGCAAGTGAAGGGCTTGGGGATGGAAGGGTGTGGCTTGAGAGCCTTGCACAGAGGTGTGCTAACTAAGAGAGGAGACAGAGGGAGAAATTGGTCTTCTTTCCTTTCACAAGTGAGAGACAAAAAATCCTCACATCTTTCTCAGACCCTCTGTGCTTCCGAGAGGACTGAATGGAGAGGTGGCCGCCTTGTTTCCTTTGCAGGAAGCACTGACAATGGAAACAGGAAACACACAGGTGTTTCTTCCACTGTATCTGCCCTTCATCAAAGCTTCACGCAAGTCTAGCAAGGCCTTGTCTCCTTCAAACCCAGGGCTGGATGGAGTTGGGGTCTTTTCTCACTGACAGGGCCTTTTGCAGAGAAGATCATGCCTCTCCCTTCAATATTCTAGGAAGCATGGGAAGGTTGAGGGAGGGACAGGATCTCATGTCACTTCTGCAGATGCCTTCATGTCTCATGAAGTATTCCGTTAAAGGAATCTGGCGGTCGTGTATTCTGTCCGATGCCTGCTTGGCGGGAGGCCATGGCACGACCCTCGGTGACATCAGGGGAGAGCCTATAGTTGGATTAGCATCAACAGGCTCCACCTACTGGTGAATAAACCCACTTGCTTGAGAGATCCAATGCCTGAGCCAATACCTTTTCACTGCTGTAATCAATAAAGTTGTGGCCTTTCCTTGCCCATTAACCTTATATAACGTGTCCTTGTGTATTCTTTCCACATTGCGGGGGTCGGGTCCTCGAACCACAAGGGACATCTTTCAATATAAAAGCTATTTAAACCGTTGAGCCAGATCCTCTGTGACTACAGTTCTGTTGTCTAAATTGATGCGGCTAAAGAACAGAAATTATGGAGCCCAACATCTAAGAAACATTGTGCAATCTAAGATCTATGATCTGTGAAAACTAATAATGTTGTATTTTGAAGAAGCATACAGCTAGTGCATTCTATAAGCATTCTATTCAGTAAGCTGACACATGGGCTTCAGCACTTCTGTGGAAAACTAAAATAACACATGATTGACCAGGCCTCAATCATGTTCTCTATACTAAATCAAAGTAAGATTATTCATAAGCTACGAGACACCTTAAGTGTTCACTCACCACCTCTTTCTGTGGAAATATTTTTTTCAAAAAGAAAGGATGAGATATTAAAGCATTCTTTCCTTTCTATTCTATTTCTCTACAAGTTTTTCAACGAAGCTACAATTCTGTAGGGCTATGCTGAATGTTCTCCAGAGAACACTGTTGGTGCAAAAGCTGGCTTTTGGAGGCAGGTGCAGCAGCTACCTGAATCTACTCATCCACCCTCCAATTTACATTTATGCATGCCTTATTGCTATGATTCAACATCGCTACACACAGTGGCGGAGGAACCCTCTCCGGCACCCGGGGCGGGGCAGCCCTTACGGAGTGCGCATGTGTGGCATCCCACACAAGCGCAGTCCGTACGGAATACCGCACTTGCACACTCTGTACGGGCTGCCGCTCGTGCACAGTGACCGCATGGGCTGCTGCTTGCATGGCGGCTGTATGGGCTGCCTCTCGCATGGGTACCTTATGGAGTGTGCACGCGCGGCAGCCTGTACAGTCGCCATGCAAGAGGTAGCCCGTATGGACGGGGTGCGAGAGCGGCAGCCCGTATGGACTGCGTGTGCCCTCAGCCACTTTACTGCTGGGGGGAAGCAGGGGCCATCTTGTCACACACACCCCGAGTGGCACCCAGGGCGGACCGCCCCCCCTTCCTATGCCCCTGGCTACACAACTGCTGCTCTGGCACAATCTATCTTGTTTAATCAACCTTCTTCCTGGCTATTTGATCCCATCCAATCAGGACTCATGAAGATGGTGCCATAATATCACATCCATTTCACAAAGCCAAATCAGAATGAGGGCAGAAAGGCTTCGAAGGCAGCTGCACTGTAAATACTAAGGCACCCTTTCACACCTTGAAAAAAAAATCAGATGCTCTTCACGGTGTGAAAAGTATTTACGAAATGCTCTCTCCTCATTTTGGCTCAACTTGAACATTTTCTAATAATAATAATAATAATAATAATAATAATAATAATAATAATAATAATAATTTATTATTTATACCCCGCCCATCTGGCTGGGTTTCCCCAGCCACTCTGGGCGGCTTCCAAAAGAATATTAAAATACTGTGATACATCAAACATTAAAAGCTTCCCTAAACAGGGCTGCCTTCAGATGTCTTCTAAAAGTCTGGTAGTTGTTGTTCTCTTTGACATCTGGTGGGAGGGCGTTCCACAGGGAGAGCGCCACTACCGAGAAGGCCCTCTGCCTGGTTCCCTGTAACTTGGCTTCTCGCAGCGAGGGAAGCGCCAGAAGGCCCTCAGTGCTGGACCTCAGTGTCCAGGTAGAACGATGGAGGTGGAGACGCTCCTTCAGGTATACTGGACCGAGGTTGCAGCTGCCTCGTCTGCAGCTGCCTGTGCCACAGTTAATACTATCATGGTAAACTTGCAAGCACTGTGTAGATACAGAAAGTACTTATCAAGTTTGTACAGCCATAGTTCAGAGGCCGCATGAAACTATACGGGGATGTGCAAAGAACTGGGCATTGGAACAAAGCTTGCAGACACAGAGGAGACCAAAAGGTCCCCCCCCCCATCTGATAAAGTGCAAGGAGTTGTGCCAAGCTCCGACTACAGCTTCAGCCAACCCCATCCAGCATGGGCAATGGCCAGGGATGGGGGGAGTTGTCATCTATCAGCAGCTGGGGGGCCACAGCTGTTTGTTACCCGCACATTCTTTGAATACCTCACTAGGACTAAGGACTCTCTTCAGCCAAGGAACATGGTGGGTGAAAAAGGTTGCATTACTATAGGTGAACACCTGATCTGTTTCTGATGTAACACTATGTAATTGACTGCAGCCATAGCTCTGCCAGCAACTAAAGTCTGCTTCCAACATAAAATAGGGGTTGAGGCAAAACCAGGGGAAACACTCATATTCAACTGGAAAAAGAAGTTATCTATTCACAAACTTTGATTAATTTTGTACTGTCAAAAGTTACTGGTTGTATTATTGGATGAATGTGGCTCAGGTCATGCGCAAGGCAGTTTGACAGACGATATTTTACCTGGGTGCTCCGAGAATGGTGAAGGCCTTGTCAGCATGTTGCTCTCCCAACTTTGACATCACCTCATAGAGTTTGTGGCATAGCTGAAGCGACAAAAACAGTTGTCGTTTTATAACAGCTACTTTAGGTAGGGTGGGGAGAATAAACTAAAAAGCACATATTTGTTCCACTATGGGACTAATCTTAGTCACCCTTTTTTTAAAAAATAGGATATTATCACAGTGACACACAACACACGTAGAGTGCAAGGCTTCGCACTTAATAGTGAAGATGTGTGTTGCAAATAGTCTTGGGGTTACCCCGGGGCCAATTATCCTAAACCCTTGCTTCTAAAAGCTCTGTCATTTCATTACCACAAGTTCATCAGGGGGCTCTCAACTTAACACAGCAAACTTAAGCAGTAGACAGTGGGAAGCCATTAAAAATAATTACTGCATTCTGCTAGTTTCATTCACTAATGTTAATCATAGTAAAAAGCAATCTTTTTTGTAACAGAAAGGAAAGAGGAAGCAGGGAAAAGATTACATGTGTTCATCTTGGCACCTGCATTTTTAACCCACTTCAAAGGTGTCGGTTGCTTTTCTTCCACAGCGCATTCATTATTACTCACCAAAGCTATTTCTTTGTGAAATTTGGCTTCAAGGCTGGAGATATTTTTGAATGTGTTCACATAAAAGCCAACTCGTCTAAAAGGAGATGACAAGGTAAAAAATGAAAAGGTTGTAAAGAGAAAGAAAAAATAATGAAATGTATTTTTTGTCCAATGCTGTTTCCTCCTATGGCTTTGAAAGTTTCCTACGCCTTTGAAAAAGTATGTACAGTATCCAATTTGGAAATGTAAAAAGGGACCATCTAGATATAACATATACATGGCAACAGATCTCCCCCATCCCCAAATTTCCAGTGTGATGTGACTTAAGGGAAACCTCCTTTAAATACAACCCCAGCACCACTTATCAATGGTGAACCCCACACCAGAGTGACGATGCACCATGGACAGAATGTCAGTGATGGGAAAATGCAAGCCCAAAGTTGCCAATAGGTGCACCATTTGTAACAGATGTATGCTGGATCAAAGAGGGAAATCAGGTCTATGACGCATTGACTATGCTGTGGATTTGCATCTTTGGTGGATTTCCTCTAGGTTCAAGTGAGGAGCATATAAACATTCAATTTTGTCTACGAGTTTCATTTTTGGACCAAACATGCTGCATGTCTGCTAACTGGAAAAAACCCACTCCTGCAATAACTGGTTGTGTTTACTGAAGCTACACAAGTCTCATTAAAGCAGACACCCCCAACCTGCAGCCCTCCAGATGTTTTGGCCGACAACTCCCATGATCCCTAGCTAACAGGACCAGTGGTCAGGGATGATGGGAATTGTAGTCTCAAAACATCTGGAAGGCCGAAGGTTGGGGATGCCTGCATTAAAGCATTACAAAGAGAGGACAGCCTTAGTTCTCTGGGCTTCCATGAAAAGTTGAAGGACACAAAGCACCATCTGCTATAGCTACCTTGACCATAAAGATGGCAGCTCTTCTTGCAAATCAATGTTGAAATCTTCAAACACTTTCTGTGCTTTCTGAAACTCTTCCTCTGCCTAGAAAGAAAATCAAACAGATTGGCACAAATTGGTGCAAAAACAAAAGGGCACTGGATGAAAAAGCAAACAAGTCAATTTCTGGGTGGGTTCTCCTCTGGGCTGGTAATCTTTTAAGGACAGCTGGGAAGTTGGCAGGCAGGCAAGAAACGCCTTCAACTGAGGAATCAGGTCAGAATCAGCAGCTTGACAGATGAGGTGGAACTTTCTTGGCCCATTGTATCGTTTGACCTTTCTATGGCAGCTGCAGTACTGCCTTATGGTATAGCCATCTAGTGAAGTGCGGCAGAAAGGAGGCAACAGTTGCCTCTATTGCAAAGGTGCTATACAGAGAGTAATGGTCGAACTATAGGAGACATGAATTGTTACCACTGAGACCTTCTTTCCCAATGCATAGACCAGCTTTAGGGCCCCTTTGGGGGTGGTGGAAGATGACTGAACTCCACCTCCTCACAGTCCTAATGTTGCTGGGTCCCACCAGCTACAAACTTGATCCTGACTGCTGCCAAGTCCCCAGCATAAGATACCTCTTGCCTATGGGCTGTATCCAAAAGGTTCTACACAAAGTAGACTCACTGAAATTAACGGACCAATTACTTCCAATGGGTCTACTCTGACTAATTATGAGTTTCTGCTTCAAGGATGTTAACTAGTTTAAACCTTATTGCCTTTGTCCACAAGCCTATATATATATATATATATATATATATATATATATATATATCCACAAGCCTATATATATATATGGCAATTTCACACACTCGTATAATGAAGTGATGGCAGGATTTATCACACATGGCACATATCAAGAAGTATGACACCTCAATAGCGAGAAAGGGTTGCCAGTGTCACTCCAGGAGATTATGCCCATAGCCAGCGAAGGGTCAGGAGAATCCCCCAACCCCTTCTACCCCTCTGGGCCACATGGTGCATAAAACCATTTGCACTGCACTGGAGAAGGGGAAAGCACATAAGCCAACACTGGGAACACCAATCTGGCCCTAGGGAAGGCCAGCCTTGTCTCTTTAGGCCGGTAAAAGCTCTATGTAAATGTTTTAGCTCTAGGTCATTACATGGTATGCCAACCATCCACAGCAGTCTAGCACATTCTAGATAAAGCCCATGTTTGTTTGTTTATGCCTACCCTTTTGTTCTGTGGAGTTTGTAGCTTGGGCATTAAAAGAGAAAGAAAGAAGATTTAGCAAGCACTTCTCAAGGAGCAACTTCATACAGAAATTCTGCTGGTGGTTAGAATTTAAAGGCACGTCTTACCTTGGAAATCCTGCCTTCGTCTTTTCTCTTTGAACTCTGCAAGGCTTCCAAATGATGTCTTGCACTGTCATAGTCCACTAGCTTTCTGCTCCGCTTTGCAATACGATTCTACAAACAGTGATACCCAATCAAAACTCGCAGTTCTCCTTATGCATCCGCGTAGTTTAAGATGCAGCTTTTGCGATTTTGAAATGTTCAGTCTTTTTCAAAAAAACATTTATATCTTTTTCTCCTATCACTTAAGAACTAAGCTTCACCTACATTCTTGTTGTTTTTAAAACTCAGATACCACTGGTAAAATAAAATGCATAGCTTTCTTTCGTCAACATTTTAAAGGCTGAATTTCTAAATTTCACATCAGATTCACTCAAAGGCATTCTAGATCAGTGTTTCCCAACCGTTGCCTGGTGTGCCGCGAGATGTTGCCTGGAGGGAGGCGGGCGAGTCGGGCGGCGAGAGGCGGGGCGGCGGCGGCGAGAGGCCGCCCAGCGCGGGGCTCTCGCCGTCTGCCTGCCTGGCTGCCTGCGTGGCGCTGACGTCACGGGGCTGTAACGTGCCCCACATAGGCACACGCGGGGCGGCGAGCGAGCTCCCTCCCACATCCCATCGCCGCTCGCTTCGGCCGGCCTACTGGGCTGTCGCAGGCGGAAGGCCTGCGCATGCGCGAGGTTTTCGCGCCTTCGGGATTCCCTTCACGCCTTCCTCCTCCCGGGTCCTTGAGAGCGCGGGAAGCGGCAGCGCGAGACCGGCGTTGAGCCTGGTAGGTATTGCGCTTGCCAAGGCAGTCATTTGGGAAATGAAAACTTGCAAAGCAAGCAACCAGTTCAATCTGAAGTACGTGTATGCTTAATATCCTGTATCTGAAACCTGTTCTGCCCCTCCCCCACACTTGGTGCCATTTTCATCTACACATGCAGCAGAGTAAGTTGACCCAGAATAGTACCAATTCAGATGGGAGAATGACAGTGCTGAATGCTTTCCCATGTAGAACAGTCCCTGCAAATAAAAACCTAGCATATTTGGAAGAGGGATGCTAGCCTAACCATTACCTTCTATGCTGTTACTATTTTTTTAAATTTTTTTTACATAAGTAAAAAGTGACCTTTCCCCATCTGGCATGGTGGTGTGCCTCGAGATTTTTTCATGAAACAAGTGTGCCTTTGCCCAAAAAAGGTTGGGAAACACTGTTCTAGAACATACTGCCACAAAACTTATTTAAAACTTCAAAGAGCTACCCTGAGCCTAATCTTGCGCTATGTAGATTAATCAACAAAGTGAATATTCTGTCAAAGTCAATAGATTTAGATGGCTCCTCTGCACTAAGCAATAACAATCAAATCCCATTTTGACATATATTTGTGGCTTAGTTAATTAATACAGTAGCCTGACATCAGCCCCAGTTGGGCCTCTCATTAAAGAGATCAGGATTCTGCCTGGAATCTGTTTTCCACAAATAGGCCATTACCTGCTACAATAAGGTATTATCAGTAGGACCCTTTCTACAGAGAGAGAGAGAAATCAATACAGCAAATACAGAGAGAAATACAGAAAAGTATAAAACAGAAAGAAGCAGAAGAAGAGATTAGAAAACAATTCCAAAAAAATAAGCCCCGGCACCATGTTGGGAGCAGGGGGAAGGCAGGTTTTCAACTGTCAGCAAACAGAGAGTAAAGGTCTTTAATTTGCAGCGTTTTCCACATTCTCTAAACTTGCAGCCTGGGTTCAATAAGGAGACTTCACAGGAAAGACAAGGCAGTCAACAAGTGAAACAAAACTCCACGTACACCAATCCATACAGCAAATGCTAACATTGATGTCACACAGATGTCAAACACATGAGAAATGTATTTTCTAGTACAGTGGTACCTCTGGTTACAAATTTCATTCTTTCCAGAGGTCCGTTCTTAAGCTGAAATCATTCTTATCCTGAGACGCGCTTTCACTAATGGGGCCTCCCACTGCGCATGCGCCTCTGGCGCACAATTTCCGTTCGCATCCTGGGGCAAAGTTCGCAACCAGGAGCAGCTACTTCCAGGTTAGCGGAGGTCGCAACCTGAAGCGTTCATAAACAGAGGTACCACTGTACCAAAACTAGTTCCATGAAAGTCCTTCAGGAAAACTTTGAAAATGAACTAAAAACTTTGCTAATCCAGATGGGCCTTTCACGCCAGCCCTGCCTGCACTATGAGATGAAGTGTCCAAGAGTACTACTCTACATAGGGCAGTGCTATGTTTGAAGTCTTATTTGGAGTAGTTTTCCATTTGAAGGGCTGTCTGGTCCAAGTCTGGTTAAAAATAAGGAAGGGAGGAGATCAGAGGCCTTGAATTTCCCCTCAATAGCACCTGGAGAGCAGACGGAGCGTGCCCATAGCTCACCTGGTCACACACTGTCTTCCCTGCTACAGGGAGATGTACAGTGGTGCCCCGCAAGACGAATGCCTCGCAAGACGGAAAACTCGCTAGACGAAAGAGTTTTCCGTTTTGGAGGTGCTTCGCAAAACGAATTTCCTATGGGCTTGCTTCGCAAGACGACAATGTCTTGCGAGTTCCTGCTGGTTCCCCCCCCTTTTTTTCTAAGCCGCTAAGCCGCTTATCAGCTGATCCGATCAGCAGATAAGCAGCTAAAAGCCGCTAATAGCGCTAATCTGCTAATCCTTCAATGGGCTTGCTTCGCAAGATGAAAAAACCGCTAGACGAAGAGAATCACAGAACGGATTCTTTTCGTCTTGCGAGGCACCACTGTATTATATTTCCATGTAAATTACAGCAATTAGTTTCAAATTTAATGAAAAAGGTTGTCCTTTTTGGTGATATGTAAGCTGTCACCATACTTTGATATCAATTTCCAAGCCCCCATCCGTGGGCCCACCGGTGAGGTCACTTAGGCTGGCAGGCCTGAAGGACTGCATCTCTCAGCAGGGGCCTCACACTTTCGCAAGTGGGAATTCCTCCAAATGAATAACAAATGGCCTTTAAATAGGATTAAAAGACCCATTTGTTTAGAACAGCCCCTGTTGTTGTTTTTTAAAGAGTATTTGTTGGATAAAGAATGAGCATTTGTTGTATCACGCTGCCTTGTGAGCTTTGACCCTTTAAAAAAGTGCTGCCTAAAATACCTTAAATAAAATAAAAATAATGAACAAACATTACTTGATAGACCTAGATAACTGAAGAGATATTGGGGGGGGGGCTAATCGTGTTTAGTGCACCCCACTACACCTTTCACAACAGCCTTCCAAAGATGAACCTGTATGTTATCCAGATTACAGCATGCCACAAATATAGCAAAACTACCCCAGGTATCTATAGCTTTGACCCAGATCAATTTTTAGTTTTTATGGCTGGAATAACAACTGTGAGCTACTTAGAACTGGCTCACAGGGGCAGAAAGGTAGGAATACTGTACATATGTTGGATGCACAGTGTTTTCTTCCACCCCTTTTTGACATGGAAGGCTCACAGGAAGGAAATATGTATGTGGATACAGATATATGGGGATCTGACCGATGCTCATGTTACGTTGTATTTGTAGTGGTGGATATGCACACAGCTGCAGACATTCCTTCCTCAACTACAATACTGCTATTGTCAGCCATGTGAACTAGCCCACGCTGAGACCTTACAGTACCTTTATATCAGGAAACTGTCCCAGATATGTGTCCAAGGTCAACAACGACCCGTCGACGAGCTTTTGGTGGAAATCTTCCCAAAGTACATCACATTTCTGTAGAGAGGAAAGAAACAGGGTGAGAATACAACAGAAAGCAATTGACACCAGTAACCCAAATAAAGAATGTTAATATTGGGGGGAAAGGACATTAAAAAATCAAACACATTCTTAGCCGCTTTGGATTTCAGGGAATGTACTTCTATGTCAGTGTATTTAAGATGCTTAAACTTAAGATGTTTCACACACTGCTTTTTTCTTACATGTACTTGATGACAACATGGTCACAGAGGAGGCAAATATTGTACTGCAACCTTTCCTACCTACCCCCTTTGCCGTGCATGGAACAAACATTCAAACTTGGTATTTATCTTGACTGGAGGAATTCTGCCCCAACCAGAATTCAGACTGGAAACCGAGGTTCCAGTTGGATGGGCCCAGGACCCACCACATCCCAGCAGGTTCTGGTTCTGTTCCAGAAACAGCAGGCAAGGTGAAGTTTGAGGCCACCCCCAGACAGGCTGCAAAATCATTATGCTTTGCCTGCAAGCAATGGCTAGCCCAGATATCTCCATGCCTGTGAAGAAAGACTAATTTAGCCTTCCTGAATCCAGAGCCATGCTAGGTCACCAGTCTCTCAACATGTAGAACCACTAGACCTTACTGTGCACGTCCAAACTGCATTGTATTCTGACTTTCACAATATTGTTGTTGTTGTTTAGTCATTCAGTCGTGTCCAACTCTTTGTGACCCCCTGGACCAGAGCATGCCAGGCACTCCTGTCTTCCACTGCCTCCCGCAGTTTGGTCAGACTCATGTTTGTAGCTTTGAGAACACTGTCCAACCATCTCGTCCTCTGTCGTCCCCTTCTCCTTGTGCCCTCCATCTTTGCCAGCGTCAGGGTCTTTTCCAGGGAGTCTTCTCTTCTCATGCGGTGGCCAAAGTATTGGAGTCTCAGCTTCAGGATCTGTCCTTCCAGTGAGCGCTCAGGGCTGATTTCCTTCAGAATGGATACGTTTGATCTTCTTGCAGTCCATGGGACTCTCAAGAGCACCATAATTCAAAAGCATCAATTCTTTGGCAATCAGCCTTCTTTATGGTCCAGCTCTCACTTCCATACATCACTATTCACAATATTAGCTGTCGTCAAATGTCTGGAGAACCAAATAGCTCATCCCTAGTGCAACAAATTGTGTGTTCACACACATGGATGTGTACATGCATCTTTCTTTCCCACTTCTAGGATCCAATTTAATTAGAAACTAGATGATATAAAGTATGGCAGACCATTAATTTTCAACACTTACCTTAAAAGAAAAAATCAAATGCAAGATTAAAATTGCACTACAGAACATTCTCTTTATCTATTTTTTCATAAGGATGTAGACATTCTCTGCTGTCACATCAGCAGATAAACAAGACAATTCTTTTGCATAAACTCTGCAGCTTAGTCCTTTGAGAAACCCTCAGGGGAAACACTCATTGGCGCTCTCATGTCCACAAGCCTGTTAGCACTGATGTGATGCACCAGAGACAACAGGGCTGTGACATGGCAGATAAAAATAGCATTTTCAATTAAATTTAAAATTTGCAGATGCTGCTCAAATAAAAGGTCCTTTTCAAAATGCTGTCTAAAATTCATCCTGTGACGCTCCTGGACTGCAACTGAGGAAAGACAAAGGAACGAATGGGTAATGGAATTGAGATCGTGAAGGGTGGACAGTTTATATGAAAGCGTAGCACCAGTAGGAAAGGAAGAGAATAGGTTTTGTTGTTGGCTGGATTGCAATGTGGGGACGCGGGTGGAGCTGTAGTTTAAACCAATAGAAAGGTTGGCAGTTCGAATCCCTGCGACGGGGTGAGCTCCCGTTGTTCATTCCCAGCTCCTGCCAACCTAGCAGTTTGAAAGCACGTCAAAGTGAAGTAGATAGATAAATTCTTCTTCAGAATTAGATAATACTTTTGCCCATAAAAAGAAAGAAATAATGCAATTGCTGTTCTGAAATCCTTCTACCCCCTTACGTTTTACAATCCTGCTTCTAATAGCGAATTCAGGTGGTGAGCGCTAGCAGGATTGTGGCTAAAACAGGGCCACTGAGAACAAGAGAGAGGTGTTAGCATTGTCCAGGGGAGCCCTGAAGGGACGTGGGTGGCGCTGTGGGTTAAACCACTGAGCCTTGGGCTTGCTGATCGGAAGGTCGGCGGTTCGAATCCCCGTGGCGGGGTGAGCTCCCGTTGCTCAGTCCCTGCTCCTGCCAACCTAGCAGTTTGGAAGCACATCAAAGTGCAAGTAGATAAATAGGTATCGCTCTGGCGGGAAGGTAAACTGAGTTTCTGTGCGCTGCTCTGGTTCGCCAGAAGCAGCTTAGTCATGCTGGCCACATGACCCAGAAAAACTCTCTGCGGAAGCAGACAAACGACGGCTCCCTCAGTCTGTAAAGCGAGATGAGCACCACAACCCCAGAGTCATTCGCGACTGGACTTAACTGTCAGGGGTCCCTTTACTCTTTACCTTTTTTAGATTGCAATGTAAATTTAGAAGTAGAAATGGATAGTTTTTGAGGTAGAACCGAAAGGGCTCTGTAGCACTGAAGGTGGGCAAGGGAAAATTGTGTTTGGGAACAGTAGCCAATTCAGATGGTCCGCCCCCGCCACTTAATGGATCCAAATGGTTTCCAGAGAGTGGTAGGGGATGTTTTATCCCATGTTGATGGCCTTTCAGCTGATTCCCTGGTGGCCCGCTGGAATGTGGAGTTAACCATGGCTATTGACTGTTTGGCTCCGAAGCGCCCTCTCCGACTGCATGGAGCCCGGACAGCCCCGTGGTTTTCCACGCATCTGAGGGCAATGAAACAATCGTTGAGACGGCTAGAGCACCGGTGGCAGATAACCCATTCTGAATCTGACCGGACACGGGTTAGAGCTCAATGTTGAGCCTACCATGTGGCAATAGCGACGGCGAAGAAGACTTTCTTCACCGCCTCTATTGCATCTGCGGAAAACAGCAGCAGGAGACTCTTTCAGACTCTTTCCTTCTGGTGGTTCCCTCACTGCGAGAAGCCAAGTTACAGGGAACCAGGCAGAGGGCCTTCTCGGTAGTGGCGCCTGCCCTGTGGAATGCCCTCCCATCAGATGTCAAAGAGAACAACAACTACCAGACTTTTAGAAGACATCTGAAGGCAGCCCTGTTCAGGGAAGCTTTTAATGTTTGATGTATTAGAGTATTTTAATATATTTTTTTGGAAGCCGCCCAGAGTGGCTGGGGAAGCCCAGCCAGATGGGCGGGGTACAAATAATAAATTATTATTATTATTATTATTGCCTTTGGGTATAGAGTCTCAGATCTCGGATTCACAATCAAGCATCATCAGAGTATAATAATAATATTTAGCATTCATTAGTGGTGTGCCGCCGCTTGCTCTGCTTGCCAACCCCTGCCATTCTACCCACACGAACCCCTTCCCACCCCTTGCTAGTGTCTTTCCCCTGCCACACATTGCAACTTTTAAGAACCCTTTTCATTTTCTGCCCTATTATGAAGCCACCGTCTCTGTCCAGATCCTTTCATACCCGTGCTTTCATTCATTCATCTTCAGACTCCACCCAGACTCCTCCCTTCTTGCAACCCCCTTTGCACCCCCATTTTCACCTTCACTATCTGAGCACAAAGTGATCTGGCAGCAGGCTGAATATGGGGAGCAAAGGAGAGAAAAGCAGGGGGTGATAAAACCAAGACTCTGTGCCCGTTCTATGGGATGGATGGTGATAAATACGATTAAGTAAAATATAAGGATTGTCCAGGAGACTCTGTAGGGTGTTTATGTGATTCCTTCCAAGTGACCTTGATATTTGTTGCAGGGAAGACTGCTTGTTTATTCAGGAAAAGGCATTCAGGCCTGTTAATTTACAGGGAACTTCCAAGATTTTGATTTATGTAGAACTTGTCTCTGTAAAATGATGGAAAACCACAGAGATTGGTGTTAATGTGCTCTGATCTAGTAATCGGTGCCACTCTGAGCACCACTGTGATTAAACATTGTACTGTAGTGGAATTTATTTCCTCAGCAACGATTAATAGATTGTAGTAATAACTCACGGCTGACAATTAAAGCAGGAGGCAAGCTCCAAATGAGCTGAACTCTGTGGCATCCGCCATCCACCATGGTCTTTGCCTATAGTATAACCCACACCTCAGAGTTGCTAGAAAATAGACTTCAAGGTTACTGTTTGCATCAGGAATGCAGAGAGGGGAAGAGGGGAAATCACTGCAGGGGCTCTTAATCTTTTACACAGTGAGGTGTTTTTTCCCCTCCTCCCTGCCTGCATAGGCTGGTTTTGGAAATTAAGATTTGTTGCAGACCTTAGTGTGAGTGTACTGTAGTGGCCAAAAACATGAGAGCCAGTGTGGTGCAGTGGTTTGTGTTGGGCTAGGACAGGGGAGACCCAGGATCAAATCCTGCTCAGCCAGGAAGCACACTGGGTGAACTTGGGACAGTCACTATCCCACTATCTCTCAGCCTAGCCCACCTCACAGGGTTGTTGGGAGGATAAAATGGGGGAACGGTGAGAACTGTGAATGGCACATTGAGCTCCTTGGAGGAAAGGAAGGTGTAGGAGTATAAATGTAATAAATTAAATAAATGAATGAATGAATGTTGGGAAATCCCTTATTCACATTAGATTCTTTTATAAATAGCAATTAGATTCTGTCTTTACTACAAGCCATTTATGGTTCTCCCTGACCGGTTTTATCCTCATAACAACCCCAGACTTAGTCTGATAGTTTAACCATTACACAAACAGGCCTCTGCTTTGAACTCCTTGGCTGCCCATAGGCCCAAGCTAATCTATCCCTCCAGCCTCATGTCTACAATATGGGAATAATAATAATAATTTTTTATTTATACCCTGCCCTTCCCGGTTCAGAAAACTGGGCTCAGGGTGGTTAACAACAAATTTAAAACACCTGTTTGATGCAACAAAAAACAGCATAAAATACAGTATAAAACGTGAATAACAATAAATTCAGAATTCAAAAAACAATTTAGGGGGAAAATCCATCCACTTTAGATGATCACCAGGGCTTGCTGGCTAAATTAGCCCTATTTGGGCCAGCAAGGAGACCAGGGGAGAATTAGCTGTGGGACCCCAGAGCGGGTAATCTTCATAAAAAGGGCCTCTGTCTTCACACCAAGGAAAGCAGTGCCCAACCTGGTGATAACAGAATAAATGACGCAAGGAGGGAGCTGCAGTCCAAGATAGGAAAAGAGGTGGTAAGGGAAAATTTAGCTACTTTAAATGAATTCAAATCTCCAAGGCCTGATGAGTTGTATCCAATGGTACTAATGGAGCCTCTATAATCTTTGAGAATTCCTAAACAACAGGTGAGGTCCCTGCAGAGAAGGTGGGCAAATGTTGTCCCCATCTTCAAAAAGGAAGGAAAAGAAAACCTGGGTAACTACCAACCAGTCAGCTTGATGTCGATACAAGGAAAGGTCCTAGAAGAGTTAATTAAACAGTTGGCCTGTGAGCACTTAGAAAAGGATGCTGTGATTACTAAGACCCAGCATAGGTCTCTCAAAAACAAGTCACACCAAACAAATCTCTTTCTTATTCTCCTTTTGATGGTGCTACAAACTTGGTGGATCAGGGGAATGCTGTGGACATAGTGTATCTTGATTTCAGTAAGGTTTTTGACGAAGCCCCCCATGGACAAGGTTACTGTTAAATGGATTTGTACCTGGTTGACTGACCAAATCCAAAGAGTGCTTGCTAATGGTTTCTCATCATCTCCCTAAACATCAGGAAGGACTTTCTGATGATAAGAGCTGTTTCACTGTGGGATGGACTCCTTCAGAAGGTGATGGACTCTCCCTCATTTGAGGGTTTTAAGCAGAGGTTGAATGACCATCTGTCATGGATGCTTTAGTTGAGATTCCTGCATTGTAGGGCATTGGACTAGATGACCCTCAGGGTCCCTTCCAATTCTATGATTCTATGAAAATGATTTTGTCCTACTGCAACTAGCTAGATGTTGGGTTAAAACAGTTATTTTGGGAATGGATGGGATCACCAACCATCATCTTGATTTCATTCATCATTAGGGATATTTTCCCTGGTATTTTATTATGTTGTTAGCCACCTTGGGGCTTTTCCTTACACAGAACGGTGGAGCTATAAGGTTAAATAAATAAATTCTTACCTCTCCAACCACTTTTACATCTTCTCGGCCATACCAGTCAGGCTCGTATACTTCATGTAGAGACTCTGTAAGTTTCTTTGAAGCTTCTTGCATTCCTGAAATTTACGAGCACAGAGAACCCATTGTTGACAACTGCTGATGTCACAAATGGACTATGATTTCATCTAGCTTAGCAAGTGTCATAGCTTAGCAAGTCAATAAGTATGTGAATTTTGTATATATGGAATAAGGTTAAAATTCAACCTCTGATTATCATTCATTTATTTAAATCATCATCATTATCACAGTTGAACATAAATTTCTACTAAAATTAGCAATAGCTTAGTAAAAATAAACTGATGTGGGTTTTTTGTTTGTTCCTTCCCTAATCTTTAACAATTTTTTGTCTTAAAAAAGTCTCAAGAGAAAATGAGTCAGCTTTCATAAAAATTCACTTCTTCTAAACAATCCCCCTCCCCCATTTTTACAGGAAACTTTACTGAATTTGATGTTTTGTGTGCCACGAGTGCGGAGACTTCAGATGATCTCAAGACCTGGTTATAATCAGGGAGCAGAAATAGGGAACCAGGGTAACATCAATAGCCCTCCTTTTAACAGAGAACTAGAAAGGAATAGTTGGAGAAAGTATCTCAAAACCAACCCACTTCACCCCATAGGGCAGCCTTTGCCAAACTTGTGTCTTCCAGAGGTTGACAGCTTCCCTCAGCTCTAGGCATTGGCAGATGGGAGCTGTAATCCAAAACACCCGCAAGGCACTCGGTTGGAAAAAGATGCCATAAGGTATTGTAGGGATAATGGCTGCCACAGAACAGAACATAGGGTGGAGCTACATCTTACAAGGGATATAGCAGGCATAGGCAAACTCGGCCCTCCAGATGTTTTGGGACTACAACTCCCATCACCCCTAGCTAACAGGACCAATGGTCAGGGATGATGGGAGTTGTAGTCCCAAAACATCTGGAGGGCTGAGTTTGCCTATGCCTGGGATATAGGTTTGGGCTTGGGAATCAGAGGTGGGAACACTGTTTCTCTTTTAGCGCTAATTTGAGGAGGGGGTGGCACATGCTGGGGGGAACCAGCAGCTTGAAAGGGCTGCTTTACCCTTCCCCAGGGTGCCTAGATGCAAAAGAGGCACCTCTCATAGTTCAACAGAAGAGGGAACGTCAGCAGCTATAGCTTGCATGACCTGCTGCACCTGCTGATATTTGCTCTCCTACACAACTCCTAAAGGTGCAGAAAGCCTTGTCTTCTTTTTACTGGGTCTTGCACAGACTCCTTGAGGCTATGTCAGAATAGGTTTGTTCCCCATCCAGGTTCTAAACAAGTAAGAAGGTAGCTGGGGGAGAAAAGGCCTTGAACAGAGTCATTTGCATGGGAAAACTGGCAAGCACAGGATTCTTTCCCATACAAGAATTTGGGAACATGTGCTTGCTGAGTTAATGCATAGTTCCATCCTCACACGGTACACTTCAAAGAAGGTTTAAGGAGGAAGTTTGGCATATGCCCCAATTGCCCCCACTAGTTACAACATTTCACTACTTTAGCACGGGGATGGGCTAGAATGCCACCAATCAGAGTGTCTTTTTTATTCAGTTCACCCTCACCTGCCCCTCCATCACAGACTGGGGGCTCACAGAATAAGCACAACGTAAACTGGCACTAACTATTGGCTCCTGTCTCCTAGGGATCCTGGGAATTAAACTTATGTGACAGACATCAGACCTGTGTTCACATGGCAGTTTGGTTCCATTTCCCCGACATTTCCCTAACTGTTGATTTCTGCGAATTTAGTGTCTGTGTTATTTGCTTCCAGAAAAAAAAAATCCATTTGTAAATGACAGAAATGAGAACTAAACTGAAAAATGATGTCTCCACCATTTTGCTTTCAAGTCTACGAATAACTATCTGTGCATTGTCACAGAGAAGTTATAATTTGTTAAAGATAATTTATTGCAGAATTACATAGAGAGCTTTCTCCCCTTCCATAATGAATGCAGCTGAGTACACCAAACTAGGGGGGTTTTCACAATGCTTTTCTCCCCAGGAAGGAGAATGCTTTTCTCCATTTTCCACATTGCCGCAATCAGTGCAGGTAGCACAAACAGAAATGAGAAAGCATGACTGAGCATACATGAACTATAGTAGAGCTCTTCAGTTGCTTAAAACACACACACAAGCAAACACACACACACACGCATGACAAAAGCAATGTTCATCCTGACCTATTCTGAGCAAGTACTCTTCAACCCTGAAGAGAATGAACCTACAACAATGAAATCGAAAATGTATTGACTTTTATAGGTTTACAATATGGGCGGTCCTCATGCAATGGTCTCTAGCAGTGGTGGACTTTGGGCTTGAAAATGTCAGTAGCGCCCTCTGTGACGCTAAAATTTGTTGGCAACTCGCTGTTGCAGCGTCCCATGCAGCTTATCACACATACCCTAAATCCGCCTCTGTCTCTGGGATGGGATGGTGCTTATAATGTGGAGATTGCAGAAATCATTGCTAAGATTTGTGTAGATATGGCAGCCTTTTTCAAGCTACGATGACCATGTATTGAGAGCCTTGTTTCAATCCTCAATATGAAGGCATGATTCATCCAGGCTGGAGTTCCCACACACTCCCAAAGGGCATTGCACAGAGCCTGTCAGCTGTACGGAAAAGCCTACGCAGGCTGCTGTGCAGAACACCCAGACAATTTGTCGTGTCTTGACTGTTGGCCCCACACAATCCTGGAGCTAACTGCATCAGGGCCCCCAGCTGTACCACCAGACCTTGTAAATCCACTACATTTTATTACGAAACTCATTTCCTGGATCACTACCATAAAGTCTTGGAACAGTGGATGAATACTAGAAGGGGAATACTAAAGGGGGAAGGAGGACATACCGGTAAATGGCGTATCTGAGAATTATCAGTGGATTACAGGAATTTTATTACAGAGAATGGGGAACTGCATCTGTTGGTCTAAGGCTAAAGATAGTCATATGACACTTTGAGGCAAGTCAAGAAAACAACCATGCTTTGTGTGTATGTATAAACAAGAGTGCAGGATGAGGTCAAGTGTTTTTAAAAGTGTCATTAATTTAAGTGGGTATGAAACTGCCTTATTGGTATCAGCATCAACAACAACACACAGAGATACTACTCTTCTAGTGCTCAATGGCCATCACAGCAGCTTACAGTCAAGAAGAAAAGATACAAATCAACAAGTTAATTAATATAATTATAGAGCATTCGTAATAAAATAGAAACCAGAGATGATACATATCAAATGTGAGCTCATTAAATTATATGTCTCATATTGCAAATGAACTTACAGAGAGCATGCCCTCGTATTATATAGAACAACACTGGGACAAGGGGGCACATTATCAAATCTTGAGCAGATTAGTTAAATTAGGTTCTTTGCTCTGAGGTTTTTTTTTTCCATTACTGCCACAGTTGTAGATAAATTAAATGAAACAAGTTCAGAGATAAGTCAGAAGCAGACATGAAAGAATAAGCATTTGATATGTAGAACCAATTTCTGAAACAGTATCATTTGCTGCTAGTTAGCTGAATCATTCCATTTAATAAGCAGATACTAGAAATATTTATGGCCAGATCTCAAGGCAGCAAGAAAAAATATAAAGCTGTTTCACTCCAAGTCAGACCATTGACTCATTAAGCCCAGAATTATTACTCAGACTGGCAGCAATTATCCAGGATGCATTGCTGTTGTTCCAAAAGCAGATCAAACAAAACAAAACCTATATTAAAAGCCAGGCAACCAAAAAATAGTTATTTGGGCACATCCAATTATATATTTACATATTCACACCTCTCCCAAATCAAAACTAGTGGCTGCAACAGTTTCTACACCTCATTTAGTTCCTCTTGACAAAACTGCACAGGGAAAGGGTGTGAACAAAAGGATGGAATCATCTCATCAAAGATGGGATCTAAAGAAGGCCATACTTTGGAGAGCTTTGCCCTTATATTTGCCCTTAAAAATATTGGAGCTGTTTATTTCATCCATTTATAAACCTGTCCTTCATCTAGCATTCAAAAGCAAACATAAAACTTATCAAATGCAAATTAACAAACTAGGACACTTGTGACGCTGACACTGCAAACCTTCTTTCAGCTCCTCAGACTGTAGTTCGGGGGAAGCCAATGCTACCCTGCAAAGGTATGGATGACAACTCCCTAATTCTCCCCACTACCCTATCAAAAAAGTCTTCCTGAAACTTTGGCTGTTCATACTTGACCTACTTGTTGAAAAAGAATCTGACCGCCATGTGCACACACTCTAGTCTAAAGTAGAATTCTGGTTGATTAAAGTGCATTTCTTCTTATCCTAAACCTAGAGTAGATTCCAGTTTTTATTTGGTCAGATAGCACAGACACAACTGATGTTCGGGGAGGGAGCACCGCACTAAAGACTTATGGATGTTCAGCTGTTTAGTAACAAGATTGGCGTTTCTCATTATGCTGATCATGGCAGCCCATGTAGGCTAGTGAATGAGTTTAGCAGGGCCGGCCCACCCATTAGGTTGGCTGAAGCAGCTGCCTTGGGAGGTAGAATCCCATGGGGCAATGCCACCCACCTGACCCTGCTACCAGGGTTGTGTGCTCGTGGCAGCTGCAGTGGCTTCTTCCAGCGAGACCTTACCAAAATTTCACAAGATCTCATGATAACCTTGCTGGAAGAAGGCACTGCTGCTGTGAAACACCAGTAAGTGAGGCTTCAGTGGAGGGGCAGCACCTCTTCACTTCGCCTCAGGCGGTGAAACAGGATGGGAAGGGTAACCTCTGGCGTTTAGTCATCTGCCATGACACTGTGGCACCTGGAAAAAGCAACTGTCCAGAACAGGGGTCAGCAAACTTTTTCAGCAGGGGACAGTCCACACCCCCTCAGACCTTGTTGGGGGGGCGGACTATTTTTTTTGGGGGGGGTGAACGAATTCCTATGCCCCCAAAATAATCCAGAGATGCATTTTAAATAAAAGCACACATTTTACTCATGTAAAAACACCAGGCAGGCCCCACAAATAACCCAGAGATGCATTTTAAATAAAAGGACACATTCTACTCATGTAAAAACACACTGATTCCCGAACCGTCTGCGGGCCGGATTGAAAAGGCGATTGGGCCAGATCCGGCCCTCGGGCCTTAGTTAGTCCAGAAGCAACCTAATTGTACATTATAAGATCTACAAAATAAACGATTCATTTGAACTTTTAAAATTTGCAGAGAAAAATAAAATTAAATTTAAAAGATGCATTTTAACTGCAATTACCTTTAATTGCAGCTAAATATCCCCGGAGCTCTTTCTGGAGTCTGGTACCTTCTGCCTGAAAAGCAATTAAAGACGCAATGTCATATCACATATGCAACACAGTGGAACAAACGTGGATCTATCGGAGAGATGAAGTGCATTCCCATATCTCTAAATAATTAGCTATCCACATGCAGCATTTTCTTTTAATAAGAACACTAAGAAAGAAACATCAATGCTGTTCTTCCACTTTAAGTACAAACACAATTTCAGAAGGTATCGAGTAGTATAGCTGGTGTCTACAGCAAAGAAAGAATTCTAGATGGTTGAAACAAACAGCAGATAACATGGTTGTTGTCTGAAAGGAAAGGTGGCTCACAAGATCCTGCCTCAGCACACACTGTAAGACTAGATGAACTTCTATCTCCTACCAGCCTCACAGCTCCATGACTCTATTGCACCAATCCATATCTTACTGAGTTGAATTTTCAGGGAAGAAGAAGAAGAGGAGTTTGGATTTGATATCCCGCTTTATCACTACCCGAAGGAGTCTCAAAGCGGCTAACATTCTCCTTTCCCTTCCTGCCCCACAACAAACACTCTGTGAGGTGAGTGGGGCTGAGAGACTTCAGAGAAGTGTGACTAGCCCAAGGTCACCCAGCAGCTGCATGTGGAGGAGCGGAGACACGAACCCGGTTCACCAGATTACGAGTCCACCGCTCTTAATCACTACACCACACTGGCTCTCACTGGCTCACTGGAAGCTTTGAGGAACTGGAATCTGAAGAAGTGTCCAGAGCCACAGAGCCAGAAATATTACATTTCAGCTCAGAACGTGCCTGCTCCACGTGACAAGCCACAAGGGATGCAATCTGTGTGTCATCCTGGCCACTAGGGCTTCCTGGGCAGGTATAGCTACAAAAGGCTCACTGTCTGCACTGGTTCTTTGCCTGGGGAGTGGCGGTCTCCCTGGTTCTGGTGTGCCTGCCTTGATCTCCTGACACAATGCCTGGTTCCTGGCTCCCAGCTCCACTCCGGCAGCTGCTCCCAGCTCAGCCCTGACAAAAAGCAACCCAGAAAAAATGTGGGAGTGCATATTGCAACTTCTGCAAAAAGCAGAGAAAGGGATGGGAATCCACTGAAACTCCTTGTGTGCTGCAAGCTACCTCCATTATGAATTCCATCTGCCTATATCAAAGGAATATTAACAAAATAAAGGGGCTCTTGTCAAAAGTCCTTAAGGAGACCTTTAGAGTCAGAAAGCTCTTCTTCATGATATGCTGAATATACTGTGTAATTATGAAAGGCCTACAGACCCATCGCTGCCTGCCTGATAACCTTTAAATTATTCCTTTGAAGCTACTGTAAACGTGTCAGATTGTAGTCAGAATTTTGCCTGGGGAGCTTACCTACACTACAAAAGCATACTCTTTAATCAGCATGAAAAGAAAAAACTTCATTAGCACAAGAAAACACAAACACACACACACACACACACACACACACACAGGGATGTCCATCTGTAAGCTGGGAAATCAGACACATGTTCATTAAGATGGCTGTAAGGAAGGATGAACAGGTTTGTATTCCACATAAATGGGGCACATTAGCATACAGCAACACACCATAAAAGAATAAAAATTCACAATTTAGTTTGCAATTTACCAAGATAGGACCTAACTCTGCTTTCATATCTATGGGGCAATGGGTTGTTCCCTTCCATGACCCCAAATGGATGTGCCCCAAGTGGATCCAACACAAACAATGGAACTGTCAGATTTTTTAATATGATGCCTCCTAGTAAAAGAGGAAACCTTGGGGACAGTCTGAGCTACACAGTCCTGCTTTATTACCATTGCTTCTCTTGTCAGTCTTAAGAACTGCTGATTTGGGAGCATTTTATGCGAGGGTAAGACTAATTTCTTAAAGAACCTGAGCACTATCCACCTCAACTTGTTCTTTTCAAAAATTGTACATATCTTTGTGGGCATTTTTCCTAATATGTGCCCCAATACAATGCATTTTGCTATTTTCACTAAAAAAGCACGCATTTTTGTACACATTCAGCTTGCAGAACTGCACTGCGAAATCAGAGAAGTGCAATTGTCCATAGAGAGCTGTGTTTTGGTTTACATATTGAACCTCAGCACCACACCGATGCCTATGGTGGCATATTCTCTTCCACGTTCCTGTTCAGAGTCGAAGGACAGAGAGCAGCTGCTGCGTCTAGCAGTACTGCTACCATGCACTTAATTCTCTAAGTGATCAAGCAGCAACTGCAAGGAAAAGCAACCAACCGACAGTCCTCTGCCTGTCTCTGGGTGGTGGTGGAAATTTTGCCCTGAGAGTCTGGGGTGGATAAGCTTCCTTGAAACACAGGACTACTCCTAACAGCCCTTACAGGGGAGTGTTGTATTTTAGGGTACAGTCCATGTGGGGTCACAAGGAAGTCAAAGAGGCTTGGCCTGTATCTCCCATGAAGCTTAGAGGGCATTGTGGGTGACATGTAGGCATTCCATAGTAAATAGGTAAAGGATCTAGTGTGGTGTAGTGGTTAAGAGCAGTAGACTCGTAATCTGGTGAATCGGGTTCGATTCCCCACTCCTCCACATGAAGCTGCTGGGTGACCTTGGGCTAGTCACAGTTCTTTGAAGTCTCTCAGCCCCACTCACCTCACAGAGTGTTTGTTGTGGGGGAGGAAGGGAAAGGAGAATGTGAGCCGCTTTGAGATAAAGTGGGATATCAAATCCAAACTCCTCTTCATCCATGACAGACAAACTGACAGAGCAAAGTCTGAAAACTTTAGCTCCTACAATGCCCCCCAGCATTGGTTTCCTATGTTGCCTTACAACAGGGATGGGGGAACCTCTGGCTCTCCAGATGTTGCTGGATCTCAAATCTTATCAGCTCCAGCTAGCATGGCCAACAGTCAAGGGCAATGGGTGTTACAGCCCAGCAACTATCCGAAGGGCCACAGACTCCCCACTCCTGCCTTACAACTTTACATGCAAACAAACATAAAAAGCTTATAAAATCCAACCATCAGCAAAGATCAAAGAATCTGACCTCTTGCCTTTTGAAGTTCAGAACATACTCTTCAAACTGTTCATCTTTTGTTTCATCAGCTTTCCCCAGCTTCTGAAGCACCTACGAGAGAGAAGGAAATAGCAAAGTCTTACCTCGAGCAGAGCACTCAAAATCTTGGCAGAACAATGACATTACTTTAACCCCCTCCATGCATTATTTGCTCGTAACATTTATTATTCTCATATTTTATGCCTGCTGCACTCCACAATGCAACACTGATCCCAAATGCACGTCCTTGAGTCTGCTGTTTGAAAAGCTAAACCCCAAGTGGGGAGAGTAGAGGTTCCAAATCACAGAGCCGTTTTCTGTGTCTCTGTGTGGGCGGCTAGAAACACTTTCAGAGCCAGCCAGGGTCTTGTCCTGCTTTTATGAAGCAATAGATCTTCCTGTCGATGAAACAATCCCAGAGGTTCCATTGCAGCAAAGTGTGGGAGAGATTCGGAACAATAACCTCTGTCTCAGCGCATGGTCTTAAAACGCAGACTTTGATTAGGCCTCCCCCTACATGTTAAAGTTCATTATACACGGCAGTGATCAGCATTATTCTAATTTGTATGGAATTTTAAACACGCAGTAATGGAGAAAGTGAAATGTTTGAAATGGTCTGACTTCTAATGAGGCATGAAATCATCTTCAGCTTAGTTTAGAGCTAGCAGTACATAACATTGGACATAAACAGTGTTATGAAAAAGCTTTATTAATAAAAAATAAGGTAGGAAGGAACAAGAGGGACTTTTAACAAAATACTGAGATCTTGCCCTAGGAAGAGACTAATGAATAAGATAACCTTTTGTGAAAGTTAAGAGATGTGGTTATGGATTATTCTGCAGGTCTCATGAGAATGCACTGAGGAGATGCATTACATATGTATAGACACAAGCAGCACAAAATTAAAGCATGAGTTTCCTACATGATGGATTCATTTGGGTACAGAATTATCTACTCCATGTTTCCATCAGAACAGAGGACCATTTAAGCCAGGGCTGGAGATACCTCTCCCTCCAGATATTGCTTGACTTCAGTTCCCAGCATTCTAGATCCCCAGCCGGCAGATGAGAGTTGGAGTTCATCAGCTCAGCTAGTAAGAGCACAAGACTCAATTTCAGGGTTGTGGGTTGGAGCCTCACACTGGGCAAAAGATTCCGGCATTGCAGGAGGTTGTCCCTTCTAACTCTACAGTTCTATGATTCAATGAACTTTTGGAGCACTGCAGATTCTCTACCCTTGATCATTGGTCCCCAACTGGTGGGTCATGACTCACAGCTTCATTTTGCCCCTGACCAATGGTAGGCCTCATCAATGGTGCTACCACTATTTTCTGTTTCTTGGTTTAGGGTTGCTTATGTCTTCAAGAGAAGGAGAAGAGGGTGGGGGAGAGGGAGAAAGGAGATAGCCAGGTATATATGAACATTTAAAAAGTGGCTCCCTAAAAGGTCACAATTGAAAATGGGGAAGACTACAGATTAAACATCTAAGTGGCCTTAGACATGTGGCTGAAGGCCATTCAGCATTTGATGAGAACGTATGCCATTTAAGCGTATTTCTGCATTAAATCAATGTAAAATATGAATGCTCTTGAAGGCTCTATGTGTTCTCAGTGTTTGGGCTAAGTGCACTTAAGTCTCCCCACAGCAAACTCTGGGTTGATCCCTAGTCAAGCTACATGGGCCAAACAGATGCCCTTGTGAAGTCTAATGGGATTAAGGATAGGGTGGCAGCAACCTGCTAATGTGATCACAAGCAGTCTGGGAGCAAAGCTTTCGTTCTCTTGGCAACAGATTGCAAGAGCAGGAATAAAGGAGAATGCAGCTGGGTGCAAATGGCAATGTATTTCCACAGCTAACTCCTCCATATACAAGCAGCTGCCAATAAGGTGGGAGCGGAGATGGGAAAAGTCAGACCATCAATGTCATGTTATGCTTTCTGTATTACTAGGCATTACAGAGGAGAGAAAAAGCAGGCTTGGGGTGGGCATAGGGTGCTGCTCTTGGTAGCAGCCATGCATCTGTTACAACATCTGGCTTTGCCTCACTCGAGAAGCAACATAAAAGCATTATTATTTGATTTTGAATGGTTTGACGTACTACTGGCAGGCTGAATAAACTGAATCCTTTTTTTTTTTGCGCATCTGGAATAAACTCAGAACAGGGATGTGACATGTTCTTCCTTCAGAAACACCAGACGCAAGTGAGTCTCCAATTACAGGCTTTTGGCTTTCCTCATTAAGGGTAAATCTAAAAACACCATGTTCCTATACAGTAGCCTTTTCGTTTTCCCAGTTTGCAACCAAGCAGAAGTTTCCCCAAGATGGCTCTGGAAATAAACCAGGTCAGATGGACTTGGAGAGCATTCCATTCCCTTTGCTCTCCAGCCTCCAAATTTCCTGCGTCAGCAGAAACTCGGCAAAGTGGATTTGGGTTACTATCTACATGGTTCACGCAGAACACTGAGCAATGATCCCCATGGCAACCAAGCCATGTGATCTTGCCCTTTGTTAAGGGTGTATTTTTTTAAAAAAACAACACGGAGTTTCAGTTTCAAATCTGTATAAATCCATCAGTAGCTCTGCAGCAGCAAGGAGGCCAGACAGGGCTTGTCACGGGCTGCAGGAAGGCCCAACATGGCCTGCGTGTCTGTGGGAAGTCCCAGTGGGCAGGCCACAGAATACTGGGGGTGGCCCCCTCCTTGAGTTTTTTTGAGCCCTTGGCCCCCCAAAGGCTCATAGCATTGTAGCGTTGAACTGTCAATGGAAGAACCTTTTTGCCCGATGCGAGGCTCAAACCGACGATCCTGAGATGAAGAGTCTCATGCTCTACTGACTGAGCTATTCCATCAATGTCAGGCAGTTACTGAAAAGAAATCAGTAGGGTGCAGCATACATGAATATAGGTGAGAACGTATATTGGTCTGGAGGAAAGAACACGCTGGGACACAACACTAAAGGAAACCGACCTTCAAAGTGACCGAACTGCTTTTCCATCCTATGCACAATTTACTTTTGTGGAGCACTGATTCAGACACTTTCTGCTGGGAAAGGGACAAAGCTCACTAGTAGAGCACCTGCTGCCTTGCATGGCAGAAGAGTCCCTGTTCGATCCCAGCATATCAGGTAGGGCTGGAGAGATTCCCTGTTTGAAATCCTGAAAAGCCACTGCTAGTCCATGTTGACACTGCTGAGCTAGATGGACCCAGTGGTCTGACTCAGTGTGAGGCAGCTCCCTCTATTATTCCCAGGAAGCACTGGCTCAGGTTATTAAGTGGAAGCAGCGGCGATGGCTCCAATATCATCAATTGTATGAGACATTCAAAGTAGACAAAAGAAAAAGATTCGCAACAGAACCATCTAGACTAGAGAATGACCTGATTAACTCAAAAGGAAAGACACTTTCTAAAATGTACCAACTCCTCCTTGAATGGGAAGTCAAGGAGGAGGAGGTAAAATCTGTCATGATAAAATGGGTGCAGGACTTTGGTTATAATATCTTAATGAAGGATTGGGGAAACCTCTGGAAAATTACCATATTTTTTGCTTAATAAGACTCACTTTTTCCCTCCCAAAAGTAAGGAGAAATGTGTGTGCGTCTTATGGAGCGAATGCAGTCTGCGCAGCTATCCCAGAAGCCAGAACAGCAAGAGGGATTGCTGCTTTCGCTGCACAGCGTCCCCTCTTGCTGTTCTGGCTTCTGAGATTCAGAATATATTTTTTTTCTTGTTTTCCTCCTCCAAAAACTAGGTGCGTCTTATGGCCTGGTGTGTCTTATAGAAGCGGAAAATTACGGTAATATGAAATTCACTGCTTGCTACACACGGAGATAATTTTTTTTAAAAAAATGCAGTATCGTTGGTACAGGACCCCTTTAAAATTATCCAAAATGTACAAAAATTTATCAATAAAAAGTTGGAGATGTGGAGAAGCAGTGGGATCTATGGCTGCACTATGTGGTGGAGCGTGGCAAAAAAAAATTAAGGAATTTCTGGGATGGAAATATATATGGAACTTTTTAAAAATGCTTAAGGTTGGTTTTATGTATATAAAACCCCCCCAGAGGCCTTTCCTTCTCGGATATTAGGTCCTGGCATTCCAAACAATGCAAGGGAACTATTATTCTAACGCGACAGGCGGCCGCAAGAATTTTAAATAGCCTCCAAACTGGAAAGGAGGGGAAATAACATCAAAGTTGGAGTGGCAACAAAAATGATGGAATATACAGAGCTAGGCTAAGTTATCAGGAAAAATAAGAGACCATGCAGATCAAGTATTTTTAAATAATGGGGTCTATTTAAAAGTTACATTAAAGATTGTTAACAGTATGGAGTCTGTGGCAGCCTTTGAATAGCTTCTGTAATCCACTGAATAAGTTTTAAGAAAGTACATTATCTTTGATAATTTATTAAAAAATAGGGATGAATAGTGTACTAGATAAATACATATTTAAAGCTACATGAATTGGCGGGAAGTCATTGGAATCAAAAAGAGACTGTGATAAAGTGGAACAGATATTGAGAATTTGTTTGTTGTTCATTTTTTATATGGATAACTTTTGATTTTGTGTTGTTGTTTTTAAGCTCAATAAAGCAATATAAAGCAACAACAAAAATGGAAGCAGAGGCAACATTCACATCGGAGGGAGGAGTCTGAAAGGCTAAAGGATAGGAGAAGACATATCAGGCAAGACAGTAAAAAGAGCTCCCTAAGAAGCCAGCTTTCTTAGGCTGTCTAGATGGGGTTTCTAAAGCAATGGACAATTGGTGGCAAACAGTCCACCCTTTAAGATTTGAAGTAGCTTTCATTAAAGAGTATGAACATAATCCCATCCCAGTCTGACAGGTTCCTATTGGATGCTCTGCAATAGAGTATTCAGGCAGGTGCCTTCTGTTTTTAACCTCTAATGCACCTACGTAGAGATACCTCCCTGGGACGTGGCGTTATCAAAACAATCGCATATCCAAGTCCATCCTGTCGTCTATATTTTGGGGGCAGGGGAGGAAGAGAACAGGGGCCACGTTAACCAAAACTCACCTCTTTTCATATCTTTGGGAAAAATTAGCAAAATTAGAAT